GAGATGAGATGAGATGAGATGATATGTGATAAGCAGAGATGAGATCAAAAAGATTATATGAGATGAGATATGATGAGATGAGATGAGATGAGATGAGATGAGATGTGATTCATTGAATTTCACATCGCCTTCCTTTCACACAACCTATCTGATTCCGGTTATTTTGCAACTTCTGCTTCGCGTCTTTCTTCGTAAACGTATAATTGAGAATCGAAAAATGACGGAGCATTCTGTGTGATCGACACTTAACCCACTACCCCACATTTTCTGCGTGTGCTCTTGTCACATGCTAATTTGAATTCAAATGCATTCCAGGTAGTTATATATCACATCTGTTTCAGGATTGTCAATGAAACAAACTTATATTTGATGTTTAAATCGTTCTAAATCTAATTAATTACGAATAATACAAGTTCTCCGATGTTTATAGCAAATATTTATTTGCTTTCTCTGATATATTTGATTTATTGTTAGTCGGTAAACCTACTCAATGATAAATAAAGTTTCTTTAAAATTGAGCGTAAGCGTAAGAAGCCGATAGAATGCAACAAATCAAATGACATCGTGAGTGAGAAAAAAGTACAGCTAAGTGCTCAGAAATTAAATTTGCTGCTTGGCGAAGAATAAGGGATAGATATCAAAGGGGAAACCAGACTAAATGAAGAAGGCTACATTTATTCCGTGTCTGATAATATCTTTTTGTTCTCGCTCGACTCATGAGTAATACATACATGCGACAAATAAAGAGCTACATAAACAAATATATATAAAAATATATATATACCTTGTATGAGAATACTTTTTGACAGAGAAAGCCTATGTGAACCTCAATAGGAACGTCAGCTCTACTCATTTAAATATTTTTTTTTTCGCGTTTATGTATTACTCATGAGTCGAGGAAAAATAAAAGTTTCGACCAGACTCAAAACCAATGTAATCTATGTCATTTTGTCTGCTTTTCTCTTTGCAATTTCCAAAGACATTAAATTTTTTTTCTAATATATTTGCTATACTTTTTTATTGTTCACGTTATATATATATACATATATATATATATATATATAATATATATTTTGGCACAAAATTCTTGCCAATTTGCCCCACCAAACAAGAGTATGTTTTTGAGACCAGATAGTACTGACGCAATTTTAGATACAAACTGTGTTAGTGGACATATGTTGCGTTGTTTGTTTGGCTCAAGACATCTGCCCATGACCGAATAAGTCGCAAGGTTGGAAAAGCAACTAATTACCCTCAAGCAGTTTCGACGAGTTGGCGGTCGAACATCCGAGGAGAGAATTGGCGCCTCTCTGCAAAAATGCAGTAGCGAACCTGTATTTCCAGGACTCGGCAGACGCCGCTTTCTGTTCACATTCTGACTTGGTCGCTGAATTTCGGACAGCCGATTGCGGCAAGTCGATGGAGGCAATGAGAGGATGCAAAGAATCCCGAGTCGAGAAGCGGCTTGGCCATTCGGATGCGTAGCAATTGGTCATTTTGACAATCGAGCGATGTGAATCCACTACAGAATGGTACCATATACAGGCTTCTCTGCCTCACAGACATGTGACCTGTCCACACATACCACAGAAGAACCAAGCGCCAGACGTGCAGGAAACCATCTTTCGGTGCACCATGAAAGGATGAAAAAATGAAAATTAGACTCGTAATTAATAGAGATTTTCTGCCAACTAGCATATCTGGTTAGAGATATCTGTAGGGTATCTCAAAATATGGCCAGACAATCTAAAACCTCGATTTAGATGTAGAGATGATATTTTTATGCTTCAGCCACAGCGAGCACATATCACGTGTGCATGTACCATTAAATAAATCTGGGTCGAAAAGATAAAACGCAATAAATAATCCCTCACAAAGACGTACTTTAATTTGCTTTTAAAACTCATCATTCAAAGCATATATAATTATTATTGTTTGTTCAAACCAATTCAGGCATTCCATCGATAGGAGCGAGTGAAATTGAACACCCAGTTTATTTCACTTTCGTACTAAACTTTGAGACTTGATCTACAGTTTAGGCGATCATCTACAGGGCTGCTTGCCTTAAGGTAAGGTCCTCGTTTTATGTTTTCTACAGACGAGGCTGCTTTACTGGGTTTTAGGCATAAAAGCAAATTCTTAAATAATGTTGTTGTGCTTTTGTTAATCTGGCATTATGTTCACGCTCTGTCTGGGTGCCAAGCAAAATTCATATTTTAAGTATTGTATGCTAACAAATAACTTTGCACTATCAGGTCAAGCAGCATTAATGCACAGATAACCGTTGAAATTATTCATTTATTCGTTAAAAACTTTTAATTATCTTAAGACATTAAATAGCAAAATTAATAAATAGATTAACCATTAAAAGTTCCCGCACTTTTTCAGCAGTGCAGTAATATATTCACTTTTAAAATCATGTTAGCTTTGATAGCCCTGAACCGTCGTAAATTTCGATATTATAAATAAATTTAATTAGATGTATGCACATAACAATAACTCATATGAATATGATGGTCCTACAAGCTAAATAATACATTATTTTGAATTTTATATCATATATATTTATATTTATATAGGTTGACATCACAACCATAAAATTGCTGTCTTTGAGACATTTAATAATATGTATATTATTAATATATAATTAAATATAGATATACATATATATGTTTATATATATAAACATGGGTTATAGAATGGTCAAAAACACAGCAACCGTGAGAAATTTTGATATAAATAAATAAATCTAATTGGATGAATGCACATACCAATCCCATATTTGAATATGACGACCCTACAATCTAAAAAATACATTATTTTGAATTTTATATCATATATATATATATATATGTATATATAGCTTGACATCACAACCATAAAATTACTGTCTTTGTAACCATTTTAGAATATGTACATTATTTATATATAATTAAATATAGATATACATATATATATTTATATATATAAAAATGAGTTATAGAATGGTCACAAACACAGCAACCATCAGAAATTTCGATATAAATAAATAAATCTAATTGGTTGTATACACATACCAATCTAAAAAATACATTATTTTCAATTTAATATCATATATATATATATATATATAGCTTGAAATCACAAACATAAAATTAATGTCTCTGAAACAAATTTAT